AAACCTTCAAGAAGTAACTCACTAAACCAGCAAAAGCAGAATGTGATCTATCTCATAATTGTACCTGATTTTCTCTTACACTTTGTTTTTTTTCTGGTTTTCCACCGAAGATTAGATCAAATTGTTAAGTAAATCCTCCCACACTGAACAGCATAGAATGAAACTTTGACTCCCAATCTGCAGGTCTACACAGCTTGTCTCAGCGACTGTACGTTCAGGGTTCAGAAGGAAGGAGAGGCTATGCAGACCTACGATTTTTCTCCCCTGTCTAATGTCACCAGCATCACCAGCAGCCCCCGTTTCACCAGCAGAGGCCTGCGATATTTTCATCTCTTTAATTTGAATCTGTGTGGAACAGAGGTGAGACACTGATCCTGAAGACTTTTGTTTTTAAGGTAGTGGTGCTCAATTTGAGAGTCCTTCTCCCACAGAGTCGAGTACCTGCCTCCTGTGTGGACAACGTAACTGAAAGTGAAAAAGTGCTCAAAGGCTACATATGTCAATCCACCATGGTTCCTTCTGACATCCGAAGTCAGAGCCTGGTTTCTTCTCAACCAGTCATCATTGGAGACTCGCTCATTGGTATGGACTTAATCTGAGGCTTTCCATTGCTCTAAATCAGTGTTTTTCAACCCTGGTCCTCAAGGCACACTTCCCTGCATGTTTTAGATGTTTGCCAGCTTTCACACACCTGTTATCAATTGATAGCAGATTATCAGGCTTTGCTGAACTGCAATCATCTGAATCAGGTGTGCTGAAGCTCAGAAACATCTAAAACATGCAGAGCAGTGTGCCTTGAGGACCAGGGTTGAAAAACACTGCTCTAAATGACTTCATATCTTTGTAGCATTTTGCTGAACGTTACTACATGCTAATAACAGGTTAGATATTTGTGTTAGAGAAGGTATTTGGGTGAAGTTTTAGACTGCAGATGCAAATGCAGGTCAAAATGACTTAACATATAGCAGCAAAAGATTGACAAACTATTAACACATTAATATGATAAAGGGTGATTTTTCATGAGGGTCCATAGGGAAAGGGCACTGTGATGCCGCACCTCTTAGTCCACTTTAAAAAGAAACACTTATCCTGTGTGGTTTGGAAAAAAAAATGATTCAAGTGTGTAAATGACCCAATTGTTGTACCTACAGTACATGTGAGGTTGTTTTTTTTCCCCAAGCTTTACCCACCTGAAATTTTCCTACACTTCTTACTTGAGTACCTTGCAGTTTAACATTTTTTCTTTAGCATATTTAAAAAATATTCATTGCTCAGCTCTGTCATATATTGCAAGACTATTTAATTACTTTCTGGAGTGACTAATCGCTTTCAGAAAATGCTCATCATAATCAGATTTGATGTTCTGAAAACAAAATAAAGCATGTTCATTTTTGTCAAACTGTTTAAATCTGATATTGGTAAATTTAACTATTCTTATATAGGTCAAAGTTTGCAATTTAATTTTAATCGGATGAGAACAGAAAGCATTTCTAAATTTCACATATTTTTACATGATCTGTGTAAATGTCTTTATTCTTTATAGCAGCAAATATAAGTATGATGACATTGACCACAACAGCATCAGAGCTGAACCCGGTGTAAGCTTTAAATGTCACTGTGCAAAAGCTCACATGCAATCCAATAAAAAGGTCCAAACTATGAACCGTGGTTTTTGTTGTTGTTGTTTTTTTTTTGCCATATGCCTAGTTCATGAAAAAAATTGCACGTGTTTTTTATTTTTCTTATTTAGAGGGATCCATCATCCAGTGATGGCTATATGTTATATTTTTGGGTTACCGGACGAGAAATTGATATGAAACCTTTATATTGAATGCCTTTAGTCTAACAGGTAGTAATGCTGCCTGTGTTTTATCTCTGCAGGGGTGACCACTAAGACAACGCTAGAAGGCATCTCTTCTCCAGCATCCTTGTTCCCTTCAGCTTCTTCTCAGCTGCCAGACGTCATATTTTATTATAAGTAAATGAACTGATCATCTCACCTTATTTTATATGCATGCATTTTTTTTATATATATAAAATACTTTTTGTTTGCTTGATTATCTAGGTGAAATTAAGATCTAATAATCTACAGAAGGTTTTATATTATAATTTTCCTAATAGAATATTGTTATTTAGTGAGTTAAAAAGATTAGGCCATGGTGATACTTTCAAGTCCACACAAATTATATTTTTGAATTTTTTTTTAATTTATTTAGTAAAATATATTTGCTATTTAAGAAGAAAGTTCCATGCTGGAACCAGTTAATGTTTTGCCAATGGTCTTTTCAGGTCCAGTGATGCAACCCAAGCTTGCAAGCAGGGGAGGTCCGCCTCTGTCAGACTTCGATGTAACCCCACAACCAGTGTTAAAGATGGCATCATATTGCCCAGGTGCTGCACAAATGAACCCAAGTTCAGCTTCAGACCTTGCTTTTAGGCACTCATACTCTGACACCATTGATGTGTTAAGCTAACGGAAACTAAACTGCGGTAAAGGGGCGCTTTGTAGAGACCCTTCAAGGCCGTGATTTTCTTTCTGATCTTGTTTCCTTAACAGTGGCTGTTCTGAAGGGACATGTGATGGTTGTACGTTTCACTTCCTGTGGGAGACCCAGCATGCATGCCCACTTTGCACTACAAGTCACTACAGAGAAATTATCAGTAGTTGCGACAAGGGGATTCAGGTATCATACGTTACTAAAGCAAACCACTTGCTGTTTTTGCTTTTTTAAAATAACCCAAAATTAAGGATGCTATTAGAAGCTCAAAAGACAATATTTCTTTTGATGAAACAGATCTTAACTGGGAAAATATGTCTTTCTGTCTCTCAGACAACTACGTATGTGTGGCAGCAGCCCCTGCACTGTTATGGAGGGAAATCTCTGCCACCACCAAAAGTCAGTGCTTGTGTGACTATGGATTTCTGGCTCAAGTTTGGTGTTTCCATTGGACTCATCACTGCTGTGCTTCTCATCAGTCTCAGTTGTTATTTCTGGAAGAAGACACGCAAGTCAGACTAAGATATTTTATATCCTTTAACATTTTATAGAACATAATGTGTCTTAGGACGTTAGCAGATACAGACCATGACCAAATCATATACCATAGATGTTATCTGGTTATCCCTCTGGTAGGCTGCAGTATAGGTATTCCAGGCTGATGATGGGCTCTGGAGGTAAAGAGTGTGAGCTACCGACTGCTGACAGCTGTGCAATAATGGAGGGAGAGGATGCAGAGGATGACCTCATGGATCTCACCCATAAATCCTTCTTCACCAGAATAAAGTCTTTCTCCAGAGAGGTTTGTAACTATCATATTTTGATTTACACTGTGCAGCTCAATATTAAAGCGGACATTACAACTGTTTTCACAGAGAACATCAGATGGATTCGACTCTGTTCCACTCAAGTCTTCTTCACAGCACCAGCAAGAGGAAGATGAGGAGGAAGACTGATGATGCTGACATCAGAGGACAAGCAGTTCTTAAAGCACTGAAGAAGCCTTCAGTTTTAGAGATTTAGCGTCAGTGAATTTTTGATCTTAGACATTTGTAAAGCAAAATAAAATATGCTGTTATTTTCCTTGTATCAAAATATTTGTCTTTAAGATATTTCATTGGTCAGCTTCAAATAAGCGATGGGAATTTTATTTTGTGTTTGATGTTACGGGCTATAATACTAAGCCTGAAGTAAAAATACTAACTTTTTATACAGAAATTTGCTGTGGTTCTTACCCCCTGGAGGGTTTTAAACATGATCAAAACCTGAATAAAGTTCAACTTTGCGTTGATGTGTAAAAGTGATCAATTTAAGGTCTTTGTAAATTAGGATGGAGTTGATTTTTTTCCCATTCCTAACTATTTTTTTTCTTCTTAAATCTGGTTTAGCTATTTGTTAAGTTGAATAATGCTGTGGTGACAGTATGTGAATTTGACCTAATTGTAGTGTTTCTGATGAACCTTATATTAAAACATGCTTTATGAATATACTTTATTTGAAATAGAGTATCATAGAATATTTATTGTAAGTATCAGCAGCAGCTGACCACCGATACTGCCTTCTTATTGGCTCCATATAAAATGATAAAACATTTGGTATAATTCTTTAACCATTATTGAGGTGCACTTGCATGTTAAATCACTGTATTTTTCACTTGATTATTTGGAAAACTGAATCAACTCCACTGATATTTTATTTAGTGTTACATGCAACTCAAACTTTTTTTAAGTCAAGGTTTTTTCAGCATTATGTGAATTTGTGTGATATTATTTTCTATTTTGTCTACATTCTAATAAGCAAATGGTTTGTTATAAAGTAGAATATTTCCATAAATGAAAAAACACAGAACTCATCATTAGTGAAAATGGATGCTCATTTCACATACTCTTTTGAAATATTTTGTTTGCCAGATTCACTCAATAAATGTTTCCTGTTTATATGTATTACAGTATTGTGTAGCACACCCTGTTCTCATCTGCAGATTTTCTACTCTAATACTCTTCTTTTCTGGCCAGAAAAAAAAAGAGTTGAAGAGAAATTCTATTAATGGTCATATGCAGCTGCTGAAGCTGTAGAAAAACTGTAACCGTAGTTTTAATGTGGCATCATAAGTTTAATATATTTTTCGATTATGTTTTTATATTAAATGGAGTAACATTATTCAGTCTGTCATGCTGAGGACATCAACATTGCATTTGTAGTGACATTAGAAATGTATATTTTTTAATGCATATTTTTGGTCAATATAATATAAAACATTTAGATATATATTTTACATTTTAAAGCATACCTATTTTTATTCTGCATGATATTAATACCCTTTACATGGCCCTTCTAGATTTAAATGTGACCAAAATTGTATGGATAAAAAAACGGATACAGTTAATTTCTGAAGTACTTGAACGCATCTTTACCTTCTGCTCGCTTCTACTCAAATGCCCTATCGTGCCGCTCAGCAGTCGGAAGCTGACCTCTCGCGAGACTTCAGCTAGAACGCTTAAGAACCGTCTCCGGACTAAATAAACGTGAGTTCAGGAGTGCACACAACAGCGCAGCAACTTTTTCCAAGAACACAGCTTAACAAAGTACACCGTGTAGTTCTCCTGCCACAAGGAGCTGTTAATTATTTTTTTCTTTGCATTATTCGGGTGAAGCGGAGCTTTCTCTCAGCTTGGAATAAATAAGCAGCTCGGGGCAAGAAAAGACATTTGGTGGTCGACGGTTGGTTCTGCAGGAATGTCGCAGAAAGAAAGAGCTGGATTTTACCTACAAGAGGTCAATAAAACGATATGGGAAGTCCCGCGGCGGTACCAGGATCTGTCCCCGGTGGGCTCTGGTGCCTATGGATCAGTTTGGTAAATTATGTTTTATATTTCAGTTAAGTGTGCGGACCATAGTCCCCTAACTTCACCTCCCTTCATTGATAAGAGGCCTTTAGGTAGCTAAAGTTAGGCTAGCAAGTGGAGCTAGAATGACTCTGTCAACATTTATCAAGGTATATTTAACCTCTTATAGGTAGAATTGACTTAAGAATTTTTGCAACCACAAACAAATCCAGGTTTTAAAAGATTACTACTAGTATTACTAGTGTTGTAACTTCTCAGAGGAGCAGTCTAAAGAATGACTGAATCGCACTCTGTATCTCAAGGCTTAAATACTTTACATACTGATCTGATCTAATCAGGGTTGAACACTTGGGACAAGTAGTACTTTTTCTGTTTATTGTCTTTTTTTTCACAATTATTTGTAAATAATGTGTTTACTCCTGGCTATTATGTAATTAGTTGCTTTCAGTTTTTTTTTTTTTTTTTTTATATTTCATAACTTAAATGTGCACTATGGACAACAGAAATTTTAGAGAAAACGCTACTGTTAATGTATTCAGCCTCAAATTGCTGCTATATTCTACTTGTTTCTTTGCAAACTCCACAGCAAATGTACTTTGAAAACAAATTTTCATCTCAGAAGCATTTGCATTTGTGTGTGAAAAGGTCACAGATTAGTATTTGTTATGGGCACCAGTAGACCACTGGTGGGATGTGTTAATATTTTTTTAACCTTTTTTATTGACCAATGACTAGGGATGGGTAAATATACCGAAGATGTAATGATATGAAATTATATGGTGAAAGCAAAAGCAGTTTAAGACATGTTTTGCATTCTTTGTTTCTGTTCACCACCAAGGCAACTGTGCTCTTACAATAAAATCTTGTCACCTTCTAATATGTTGCTTCAACATTTCTTATATTATACTGCTTAAAAGCAAACACAACCTGTTTTTCTAAGAAATATTTTCAGTTTTTAATATACAGTTATGCTGTCATGTAACCAGCAGTAAAAAAAAAAATGTGAAAAATATTCCAAATAAATCCACTGATCCTTTCAGTTAATTGGGGGTACAGATTTAAGCAATTTAAGTTTATTAAATTGCTTATTAACTTTCTGCCAGAGTGGCAGTGCAGATGTAGCACATCTGCCCTCATTGTTTTAGGTAAAAATGTTGTTTTTTTTGTTTATTTTTTTAATCGATATTAGGAACTGAAAAATCAATATATCGGGAACCTGAAAATCCTGATATACTGCCAAATAGATTTTTTTTGTTGTCGTTTTTTCCCCACACCCATATTCAAAAGTGGGCATCCTGCATGATGAGTTCTTAAAGCTGCTGAACGTGAATGCATGACACTTGAACTGCTGCAGTCTTTCATATATTGCTTTCAAATATTCTTTAGCACTTTTTACATGGCATATATTTATATTACTGAGGATTGGGATTCAGTATATTTTTGCAGCCCTAGAAAACTGTAATTGTAATATTTGCAAACCTGTAAGACTGAGTGGTTCCTTATGTGTGATAGCTCTGTTTGCTCTGTTCTTTAAAGCATTAAGACATTCTTTGTTCAAGTTCCAAAATACAATACCTCGCAAATATTGTTAATGATGAGCAGTATAGCTGCTCTGCTGAATATCAATGTAAACATGCACCCTGTTTTGGACATTTACTTTTAGCTCTGCATGCAGGAAGTCAGTTTCTAAATAAACCCTTTTTTTCATTTTTTTTTAACAAATAAACTATAATATTGTGCATATGTCTATATTGCCCATCCCCATTGATGACTTAAATATGTTGTTGTGAAACATTGACATTTTAAATTTGCAGTTTGCCAACTTTTCTCTAAACTTTTTTAGGGTTATCTTGATAAAGGTTCAATTCTGTCTTCTATATGCTTGAATTACTTTTCATGAGCTTTAACATTTCTGTCGCTAGAATATTTAGTGATTTAGATGGAATCAAGGGCAGTGAAAGATAATCAAACAAGGCAAGTTTTATTTGCATGCTAAAGCATGGCATAAGAAATATAAATATTGCATCCAAAAGGTCTGTAATATTGGGAAAATATTTGAAAGTTCATATGTTTTCTTTAGCTTTAGTCCTCATTCTATCTTTGGGGGAAAAACATAGGGGCATAGTTTGAGAGCAGGTGTTTGTTTTGCAAATGGAAACTGGGATGCGTGCCAGGCAATGAGGTAATCATGTTCAGATCTCATTGCTGACCTCACCTTCTTTTTCTTTCCTTTTCCATTTAATAAATCAAGCAGTTGTGATGGGAATGAACATATAGTGCATGTCAAGGCTGAGTTAATTTTATCATGTGTGTTTAAGGAAGAAAGCAAGGCATGTCAAAAAAAAAAGTTCAGTGATGGTTTTATTACTGAAGGATATGAGGGATTGACTGGGCCCCTCTGTTTACCTAATACCAAAGCACCCTAGTGATTGTATTTTATCTATAAAGCAGGAAATGCTTCATAATTAAAACAGTCAAGGCCAGTAGTTATATGATTTAATAGTCACTGTTAGTTTTTTTTTTTTTTAACCATTAATATTCAGTTTTATTTTAGAACAAAATAAAAATTGAACTTTTCAGTCATGGTTCTTGTGAAAGTAACGTTAGAGAAAGATGCATAATGCAGCAATGCAAGGTCAAGGGATGAAATGTGTCCATTTTCACTTTGACTGCTAAGCTGTGGTTTTAATTGACAAACGTGTTGTTTATCCTTTAATGTTCACTAAATTCCAGCTAAAGTTCTACTTTTCCAACAGTCTCCCAGTCCCTAAATGCAGCTAAAGTTAAGAAACTGCTAACCTGGCACAAGCCGGATTGATCTGTGTTGTTCAGCTTGAATTCTACACAGCATCCATCTGGGAAGGCTCCTTTGGAAAGTGTTCGCAAAAAGGACATTCAGTACAACGGTTTGAGTTGAATTGGAACCTACCTCTCATGTCAAGCTTTTAGCCAAACGCAGTGGCAGCTGTGGCGTCTCGCATTCTTTATTTGATTCACAACTAGCATAGTTAATTGATTAATCAAACTTGTCACATCCAGTTGGGAGCAACAGGCAAATGGCTTTCTCATCCACAAAAGCACAAATCCCTTCCTATTTCTTGTTTAAAAAAGAGAAGAAATGGGGAGGTATTCCAGGTAAAACTGGAACAGCCTTTTTTTATTTTTATTTTTTTGCTTCATCCTTCCCCTTATGGTTGCTGTCATATGGACATCAACCACAACAACGTCACTGAAGTTCATCGGTCCAAAAACATTTCTGTATTTGAGGTTAATGTGTCTATTGGCTTCTGGCAAGATATATTAGGGAGTTTGAAATTTCATAAATCTTTATTATTTCTTGCTAAAGGAAAGAGTTGCTTTAATGCATGAATTGGATAATTTTGAATTTATTTTGTATTCTGGTTCATTCAAAACCACTGTTTTATGGATTTGCAAAAAAAAAAAATCTGGTCTTAGAAAATATGCACAAATTTATCATGCACTGACAAACGCTTCTTAATTTTTTTTTAACAGTTAAAATATGCTTAAAGATAAAAAAACAAAAAAGAAATAGATAAAAATGTACATGAAGTTCGGTAGAATTAAAAACATGCATCACCTAAATCCTCCAGATATCAGCAAGCACCACATGTTTTCTGAGTCACTGCCCAACAATAAGCCCCGAAAACAAATAGTAACGTAAATTCATGAAAGGTTATGTTGAACTGAGGCTGTGGTGAGATGAAGAAAAAAATCTCTTGTGCTTGTAATTTATTATCCCGTAATTGGTATTTATTCTAATATTATCTATAATAGTACATATGAAGCATCTAAACACACAGATGGAACACTTTTACCAAGAATGAGGTGCATATTTAAATGTTTTCTGATAGGTTTAATGATGAACTACTGTAGGGTATTTATTTATACATTTTTGACTGTAGCTTTGCTCATTTTGTTGAAATCTCAGGAAAGGCTGTGTTTTTTTGGCCTTCAGCAACTTTCATAGTAAGAAGCAGTCTGTTCTCAGGGGGGAGGATATATTATTGCCAGTCTAGTCCCAGTCTGTTGAAAGGTGACATTTTCTGCTGATGCTGCCCGTTTCTCAGCCTTCAGTTCATCTTATTACACCTAATTTTGTTTTGAGAGCAAACTCAGCCCAATATGAGCCATATAAAAATCTGCTTTGTCAGCCTTAATAGGAGAAGCTTGGTTTACAGAATTGTCTTAGTTCTTTAATTGATTTAAATGCACTGCAGGCACGTATCTTTAGCAGTTCTTTTACATAGGTGTTAATGTTTGTCTTCTTTCATTCAGCTCTGCATATGATGAAAAACTTGGTTTGAAGGTTGCAGTGAAGAAGCTCTCCAGACCTTTTCAGTCCATCATCCACGCCAAAAGAACTTACAGAGAGCTACGGCTCCTTAAACACATGAAGCATGAAAATGTGAGTGGTCTGGTTTCCTCTTTTTTTATTTATTTATTTTTTTTCTCGAGGTAAACAAATTTAAAATCAAGTTCTTACCCCCTGCTCAATATTTCCTTCTTTAAAGACCTCTGCACCGCAATGAAGGTTGTGCTTTCTGCCCTCTCTGCTTTTAATTTGACTCTGACTTTTGTATTTATTGCAGGTCATTGGCCTTTTAGATGTTTTCTCTCCTGCTACAAGTCTAAAAGAGTTCAAAGATGTGTAAGTTTCTTTTTCTTTGTTTTTACTCGATGTTTGCTGTTTAAAGTTATGTCTCTGAACAGTTTGGACTGATAGCAAGACGGCCTTAAGCTTCTTGCCAAAATCTTTTTCCACACAAAGAATTTACTGTAGCTGCTGTGTCTGAAAATATCTGGATTTGCGTGCTTGCTTTAACTCCCTTTTTCCCTGGCGTTTCTCTGGCGACAAACCCCCTTTAAGCATATTACCGCCTTCTAAAGGCCAGGGGTCAGAATTTTAGCGTATTACTCTACTTAATTGAAATGTGACAAAAATTGACTGCCTCTAAAATGGTGTTTTTACTAAAGTGTGATTATATCGTAAAAGCAAGTAATCGCCCATACCTGAACTTGATCAGAATTATTGCTAATATGCTCTCCAGATATTACCATGAATACAATTAAATGGGAAAGAAAATTGCAAAAATCAAAATGCTATCAGTTCCAATGTGAAAAAGAACACAATGGATGTTGCACCTTTGCCAAAGGAATCTCCTCTATTATCACTTGTTTTTAATATTTATTATTTAATATATTGTTGCTGTTGAAGGAATATGAGCTGTTTAAAAAAAAAAAAAAAAAACTAAAGTTCAGAGTTTGGAGTTTTTTACAGGATAACTTTTGCTTCAGGGGATCCAAACATCCATTAACGGTTCACTCCTCTTGCTACCTTGGCATCCAAACAGTGCCTTACCTCATAGTGTATAATAATTGGAGTCAGAAACAGTAGCTTCATTCAGACAAGATTGATAATGAGAAAATTCTACTCTGTCAGGCTTTCTTGCTGTTTGTAGCCAAAGCAGCAGCAACCACTCCAGGCTGATAAAGGTAATGATTCTCCCCAGGGCAAGACTGGTTTGTCAAATGACCGAATTCTAAGCTTGTCGCACACTTTAAGCATGATTGGTTCTGCTCCTGCTTTTTTAAAAGGGCTTTTGTAGATGTATTGGAGCATGCAGCCTGTTTTAGGCAACAGTATAACGTTAAAAAAACACAAGTCCTACTGTCCCTTGTTGCAAAAAAACTGTCAAAGGCAGCAGGTGAGATTGTTAGACTTCAGCCTAGGACATCTGTCCTGCGTCAGTGCACCACAAAGGTATTTATGGGTGCCAGTGTCAGTTTTTGCAGGATGGCGGCTGGATTCATTTAAATGCAGACTTGTTTTCAGCTCTCAGAGAATCTAACCGTGCAGAACAGAGATTTGTGCAGCATTTCTGAAAGAGATTTTAATCAATCCCGATTTCCCTTAGTGATTTTTTTGCTTATCTTTAAAACAGTGGTGATATCTCACTGTGCGTGTGGGAGCAGTGTCTCTGCAAAACAGCTTTCCAAGTAAGGCATTGGAGATCTGAAGGAAGAAAACCTCCTGTTATACAAGCAACGAGTGCAGACGGTATTATGGAATTACTGTATTTGCTTGTTCCTTTAATTGGGATGTTTCCTAAAGGTTGCTAGAAAGTGGTTAAGAGCTTAAAATACTTAAATAGAAACTTTAACATTTTTTACTTTCCTACTATCTGGGTCATTTTGCTCCTAAGCCAATTCAGCAAAATGTCAAGGCATGGGTAATTTTCTTTAGTATAAGTACAACCAAAACTTCAAAAATTGCATCTTTTGTTAAGAAGTGAGCCCAGCCCTGCTAAAGCTCTCCTTCAGCTGCCTGAATCCTTAAATGATAGCTGCTAATTTAAATGCTTAGTTTAAAATGCCTCACCAGGATCATTTGACAACATAATAAAGGGTTTGTGGTCTGAGCAAAATATATTGCCAAAGAGAAACTGTTTCTAGCAGCACTTTATTCATCTTCTTTGAAAAAACAAAAAATACCGACCATATCACCATTTGGTAATCCTTCCTAAACCTTCCTATGGCCGCTCCAACCCTGGCTTCAGTGCTATGGCTATCTGCCTGCTGGTGTGAGCATATATGTGCTCATCTGTGACAGGACTCAGCCAAAGTTTGCTACTATGATGCAGTATAAAGAGCACATCTTTTTCTTTCTTTTGTCAAGTTGCATTTTCATGAGTTAGAAATAGAAGTAGAGATGCACCGATCATTTTTTTTAATTTTTTTTCCCCCCAGTCCGGTACCGATACCTGGGCTAAGCGTATCCGCAAATACTCATCCCATTCAAATGTTGAATGAATAAACCATATAGCTTGCCATGTGAGTGAAGGCTTTAGCTAGTTAAAAGATGACACAGATATAATAGTACTTATGATATAGTACATATGATTTATTAACAAATAAACAGTAAAAATAACAAAATAACAGTTCCATGTAAAGTGCACTGGATTGGATATGTTATATAAAATCACTGATATCTGATCCAGGTAATTAGTTGATATCGATCAGCTTTAAACATTTTCAAAGACGTGATGCAAGGTACTCCAATATACAGATTTCTTGTAAATATGTGTAAACAAGCATGTGTGTTCTAGAACACAATTTCCACACCCACTGTTACCCACCTTAAAAGGCAATCACTGTGTCATTTGGACAACTGGCAGCATAACCGGCCATTACGCTGAAATGTTCTGCCAATAACTCCTTGTTCTACATAAGCTATGCTGCTACATCTAGGCCTAAAACATTTTTAAGATGGTGTGAGATAAGGGAGTTTGATTACAAAGAGTGTTATGCTTGAAGGAGTTTGAAACCAGGCAACAGCTGCAATGTTGTAATCCTCAACTTGCATGCACTGCACCATGATACAAATTTGTGTTTGACTGTATCCTAAAAGACTTTAGGATGAGTAAAGAAGCAGATTATTTTGCTAACTCTAATCTTTAATTTTAATATAATTTTCTCTGTCTTTGCAAGCTGCGGCTCCTGAGCTGTTGGTGGTTATTGTTCTGCATTAAGTGATCCGGAAAGTCGCTCAGGGCAAAACTTTCTGGGGAAGCAAAATCTGCTCGAGGCAAACTCTATAATGGGTCATGAATATTTATTAAACATTCTTCATATCTGACATGCGTATTAGCTCATTTTGGTAAAAGGGTTTTGAGGAGGAAAACTAGTGAAGCAGTTATTTTGTAATCGGGGGTTTCTTTTGTCATGTTCTCTGCTTAAACATGTACTTGGATTATTGCTATAAATAAAAATACAGCTGCTGTGTTGCAGCTTGTTGTTGCAGTAGACCTAAAATGCTTCCCCAGCTTTAATGGTTGGAAGCTTATAGGATAGAGTAACCTTGATGAAGTGGAATTTTAAATGTTATTTTAAGAAATATGTGTAGATTGTATGTTTGAATTCTTTTTTTTTTTTTGAGTGTCTGAAAATAAAAAAAGGAAATAGTTGAGTCTGCTACATGTCCCTGCTATGCTTCTTTCTCTTGGAAAATAGATGCCACTCATATGCTGTTTTTTCCACGGCAGGGAAACCTTTGAGTGTGTCTGTCTGTGTCTGATCTCAGTGTAAAGGTTCAAGCTTCGAAACATGCTATTTTAAGCCCTTGTTCTCCACACTCTATTAGAATAGAACAGTATTCATCAAACTAGTGTTTGTTGGGCAACAGACTGAAAGAGTAGATGGATTTGTGGCTCCTTTATTGCCTCCTAAGCAGTCCTGCTCAGTTTTCTTTAAGTGCTGTTTGATGCATTTTAAACAGCCCTTGGATTGGATTTAAACTATCCATTGATGCAGTACCATTAAGCTGCTTTATCCAGTGTGTTTGTCAAATGACTTTACATTTGTAAAGGACCCGACCTTTCAGTGTCCCAAGAGAGAAGAGTAAAAAGAAGTAGCTGCAAAACTGGTTTAAGCTTTTATTGCCACGTGGTAAATGAGCTGCAGGCTACAATTTATTCTACTAATATTCATTTCAAAGAGCATATGCATTTATTTCGTTCCCATCTTACTGCTCTTTAGTTTTGCAGTTTGTGCAAATTCCCTTCAAATTGTCTGTTCCAACACGAACCAGCATGTTTTGTTTCTGACAGGTATCTCGTGACTCATCTAATGGGAGCAGATCTAAACAACATTGTGAAATGTCAGAAACTCTCAGATGACCACGTGCAGTTCCTCATATATCAGATCCTCCGAGGATTGAAGGTGAGGTTATTTAGTAAAATCATATTTTGGACATTGTCACATTTCCTAGGCTGTTGCTTAAGTGTTTCCTCATTTACTTTATATTGCAATATTTTAGGGAAGTGCAGCAAAACAGCCACATAACGTAATACTGCCACCCTCGTACTTCGTAATTGGGTTAACATTCTTCTAGTCAAAATATCCAACAACATCTATTACAACATCTGTTTAAATGTGATTAATTGATTTAAACCCATATAGGAAAAAAAACTGCTAAAACTATAAGTAAATTCATAAATAAGTGCCACCACAACTTTAAATGCCAAACAATTGAATTCTGAATTTCAGAGATTCTTCTTTTCCCAGTTTTCCATTCTTTTATTTCTTTTTTTTTTCTTGATTTTGATTTAGCCTTTTAAGTGATTTTTTTTTTTTTGACATTCAAATTTTGCAAATGCTATGAATTTTTTTTTTCCTCACTATAACTTTTGTAAGGTTTCTTAAGTAGTGCAAATCTGTATATATTCCAATTTTATTAAATCGACAGTCTTTCAGAATCACTTGGCAAGAAAAGCACAAGGTAATAAACCCATTTAAAATACTGGGATATAGATATTATTTGAGTAATATTTAAACATTTGAATAGATTTATAGTTGGTTGTAGTCCACATAAGATTTGAGCAGCTCAACGCTGAACATCTTGTTTTCTCTGATTATTGTAAGGATTATTCTGTAACAAGCTGTGCTGGTCTCACTTCTTTAATAACTTCATACGTCTTTGTGGTTTGGAGTTTAGTTTCACTTCTTTTTACTAAATGTTCCTTCAACATGAATCCTCTTTCACTGTTTATTGGCTTTAACTGTGTTTTAGTTGCATGTGAAGTTTGCACATCTGTTCATCTCTAACAGTGAGTTCACACTGGATCCAATTTCAACAACAAAATCTTCACATCTGGGTACTGGAACCTTCCTTACATGTTGGCAGCAATTTGCAGGGTGAGCGAAAAGCTCCACCCCCTGTCTCTTTACTTTGTCATTAAATAGAAGGAGCTTCTATCTGCTGCTTGAATGTTTCAACTCGTTATGGTGAAACTGGATTTTACCAAGCGAGTCACAGCACTTTATTCATCATGGAAAGCTGAACAGCAGCGCCGGGTCCACCGGTGCTCCCAGATTGCACAGTCCAGAAGCTACACAGACACTTATGATAAAACTGTCCTCTTTTAGGGTTGAATTAAAACAGCTTTTTTTAAAGACTCTAATAAGCTTTGTTAGATGATTCCTTACTTATTGTGCCAACATAATTTTTTTTTCCTTGTTTCCATTTTGATTGAAAAAAGCTTGTTCTCCACTGCGCTCCTGAAAGACCCTCTACAAGGGGATAACATGGCATAAATCCATTGCTCTGGTTGTTGGAAATGCTTTCAGTGTGAAAACACCATAACAATTGGAGGTGGGCTCTGAGTCTTTATTTAACCTGTGCGTCTTCCACCACCAAAATAGTCAAAGTGAGCAAAATCTCACATTGATGGAAATCAATGTTAGACGAAGACTCCATGTACAGGCTTAGGCTTTTGTTGGGCGCCACAGTTTGTTCCCAAAAAGCTTCCAGTTGTGTGAATAACTGGTCGTTTGTGTGATTAACCAGCGTCCTGTCTTCAGTGCTCCATATCTCTAGACCAAAGATATCTCCTTAAAGGGACAGCTTGGATTTACCAAAACCTCTGCAGTGATGTTTTCTGGAACTTTAATGGTTTTACTCTGATATTTTTTATTATTAATGGCATTTAATAGTTACCATTTAAGAACAACATGAGTCAAACCTGTTTTGATAAAAATTATTGAACCTTTCATTTATTTATTTTTCTTTGTAAAACAGATTAATAATTTTTTATTCTGTCAGTTTTTCTAAAAATTAGAGGTTAATATACTGAAACTGATCTTTGTTTGCAGTACATCCACTCAGCGGGCATCATTCATAGAGTGAGTTATCTCTTTGATTTCTATCCCATATATACTTCTTGTCCTTGATGCTAATCTTTGGAAAATTGTTTAGAATGTAAAAATGAGTTTGACAGTAGCTGAATCAGGCTTGTTGAAATGTTTAAGCATAAGTAAGTAGAGGGGAAACATTGTATTATGTTATGGCTATTGCAGATTTTAAATTTAAGGGTAATTTATAGTTTATATAATTTATTTAAAATGGAAGAACAGGTTTACTGTCTTAACTGGGTTTGGTACCAAATATCATGTATTACTATTTTTATTTATATTTATTGTCTTTATTTCCTGCAGGATTTGAAACCTGGCAACCTTGCTGTAAATGAAGATTGTGAGCTGAAGGTGAAGAGGCTTTCTAATTAACACAACTTTATGTCATATCTCTTTTAATAGGCAAATGTAAAAACTGCCCCCCTCTTTTTTTTTTTCTTTCTTTTTTAATTTCAGATATTGGACTTCGGCTTGGCACGGCACACTGACGATGAGATGACTGGCTACGTGGCCACCCGCTGGTATCGTGCTCCAGAGATCATGTTAAACTGGATGCACTACAACAAGACGGGTAGGGGACTGTGTTGTAATTATAGTTTTACTTTTTAACAACCTTTTAGGTTGGTAGATTTTAGAAGAAAGATTTAAATGAATTCTCATTTTTCTCTTCATTTCAGTGGATATTTGGTCCGTGGGTTGCATCATGGCAGAGCTGCTTACGGGGAAGACTCTGTTTCCTGGCACAGACCGTATCCTTTTCACAATGTGGACTGAAGTTAAAGGAACATTCTCATTGTTTGGGTGTTATTCCCCAACTATGTCAAGGAGTTGCTTCATTTTCATAAAAAAAATTTTTTTTTTTTTTTTTTCTGAGACGTGTAGCAATTATGCTTGTCATCCCTTCATACTGACTTTAACAATCATCTTATCCTAAACCCAGATTCATACCCTCCATATTTGCAGTGGGTCTTTTCTTTATCCAATATCTGATCATCGTTTGCCATCCAATTCATCCATCATCCAATTCAAATTGTTGAATTCTGTTTTCATTACAGATTTTTTTTGTGGAAAATGTAATTGCATATCTCTGGGATTTAAAAATTTTCCAACAAACTCTGCTTTTGCACTTTTATATTTGTTTTGCTCCTTGACAAAAACCCTACAGACATAAACCAACTCCAGCAAATAATGCGTCTGACAGGAACCCCCCCAGCAGCACTAATAAACAGGATGCCCAGCCAGGAGGTGAGAAGGATTCACAGTTAATTCACAAAAACGTAGAGGAACTGTGATTGTGAAGGGCTTGCTTCACAACCTGTCCTGTTAATATTAAGTGTATTTTCATGACATCTGATAAAGATTTTGCCAGAGACTGTGTGGGATGCATAGTTTGGTGGCCCCTGATGATGGGGGAACATTATAATGTCACGTAAGAGGAAGATGAGTGCAGTGTGGTTAGATTTATTGCACATGAGATTAGACTTGCATCAGTCAATCAGCACTGCTTGGAAATCAGCCAATTTGCATGTGATCGGCACAGTGGTAGATCTGAGTAGCACCGGGGGAAACAGCGCCCAGGCTCCCCTTCTTCATTCGCTCCCTCTTTTTCTTCATTCCCTCCCTCTTTTTCTTCATTCTCTCCCTCGTTTCCTCCCTCCCAATAAAAATTTGTTTATGTATGATGATTAGGTGAACGCTGATCCCTTCGGTTCATAGGTCAGTAGTAGTAGCCCTTATTACTCAATACCCATGAAGTAGCCTTCGGTCTTAAAAAGGTTGGTGACCGTTGCTTTAAACAGTGGGTTTATTTCCGTTGTTTTCGTTGAAAGGCTTGTAATTGAAATTTTTTGTTTGGCTTCTGATCAGACGTTACAGCTCATCAAGCTCTAACTTAGCATTAGCTCAAGGTAGTCTGGTCACCCAGACTATCTTGCCTCATATATGCAGCGTATCAATTTGAAAAGGAGGTGGTAGAGCCTGATTTAAAAGGTAGGACCAGGGCACGACTAACAGAGTCAGAGGAAACTGGTAAAAACCAATTAGATCACTACTGATGTGACGCTAAAGTGTCTTTATAAAAAGAAAAACACTTGGAGCAGCCAAATGTTGAAATTTTACAGATACATCCCAGTCAATATACGCATAATAAAATACATAATTTAACATTGTTCCATTGCGGTCTCTGTTATGATTACAGAAAAGGGCTCTAATGCTAAGGTAGCGCTAGAGAAATGTAATTTGTCCATATATAACATTTTTTGGTCTAATTTTTGAAAGATTTTATTAATAGATATGGTCATTAAAAAAAAAAGTTTACCTTAGTATTAACTTTTGGTTTGTTGAATATTTATAGAGGTTGTTTTAGTGTGTGTTAAATTATGACTTGTCCCCATTTAGTTATGCAGTCAGAAATTTGACTGCCAAACTCTTCTGGGATAACGTAGAGGGTAACACAGAAACAATGTCATGACATGCAGTCTGACACTTATTTTTCTGTATTGATCTTTTTTCCCAGGCTAGAAATTATGTCAGCTCCTTGCCTCCTATGCCCAAGAGGAACTTTGCGCATGTTTTTATTGGCGCTAATCCACAAGGTAACAAGCAAAAACAAGATTATGTCATTCCTCTGAAGCACAGACCAATTGAAATTCTGCTTTATTGATTTGTTGGCCATTTTTTTTTTTTTTTTTTTTATTCTAAGCTGTTGACCTTTTGGAGAAGATGCTGATTCTGGATGCAGATAAGAGGATAACGGCAACTGAAGCTCTGGAACACCCCTACTTCTCACAGTACCATGACCCAGAAGACGAGCCTGAGGCAGAGCCCTACGACCAGAGCTTTGAAAGCCGAGAGCTTGAAATAGATGAATGGAAGCGTACGTTTTTTTTTTGTGTTTTAACAACTTGTTTATGTAAAGAAAAATAAATCTTAGGAACTTAGATTTTCTCTTCAGTTTCACAATAATTGTATTTACGTTTCTTGCAGGTTTGACCTATGAGGAGGTGTGCAGCTTTGTGCCACCTGATTACATGGAGGGTTGAGACGAGCTGCAACCACAACCTGCCAACATGTGCATTATCATAAAAGCCTTCAGGCACACATCACACAAGCTATTTCTGAGTCTATCTATCATAAGAAAAGAAAACTGGACCAGCTATGATTATTTATTTACCACTGATACTGGTCTTTGTTCAGAAATTCCTCTTTTGCCAAAATTTTAAATCTGTTTATGTATTTAAATTGTTTTATTTTAATTGTTGTTGCTATAAACTTCAACTTTTCACTGTGACTTCTGATATTAAGAGACCGACCTACAGCTGTGCTGATTTGGCTTTGAAACTTTTTGGGAATTTTTTTTTAATAAGCTGTTTTCTATCAAATCAAAGACTAGATATGCTTGTCTACAATTCAAGCTTTGGTTTTTTTTTTTTTTTTTTTT